AACCCTCTCAAGTGCATTATGAGGCAGGTAGCGCAGGTCCACACAGGTCCACACAGGTCCTCACAGATACACACAGGTCCACACAGGTCCAGGTCTGATCATCTAACACCAGATGAATCAAAGCTGACTTGTTGTTTGTTTTCAGGTCAGGTGAGGAGGGGGTTCAGCAGCAGTCTGAGGGTGGGTCTGGTCTGAGTGATGTCATCACCTCATTTATATAATGATTCACTCTCAGTCCGATGAGGAGGAGGTCTGCAGGAGGTGTTGGGGAGGACCTCCGTGGAGTTGGACCTCTGCAGGAGGAGGTCTAAATAAGAGTAAATGTAAGTCTGGAACCAGAACCTGAGCTGACCCACAAGACGTTCAGCTCTGAGACAGAGTGTTTGAGGTGAGSCTGCACGGTGGTGCAGTGGTTCCAGCTGTTCATTAAGAAGGTTCTGCTGGGTCTGGATCCTGTCTGTTGGTTCTGAACAGTTTGAAATGTTTCATTTGTCGTGTTGTGGAGCTGCAGCGACCTCCAGAGGTCAGAGGCAGAACTGCAGCCAGGTGTGATCAGACCAACAGGTGACTCACCTGAAGCCTCTTCATCAGCTCCAGTTTGACTTTAAATATAAAATAACTTCATGTTTGTTAGATTATTATAACTTTATAATAACTACACCTTATTGAGCCTTAATTAATCATTAATAAAGACTTAACATTGAAAACATCATTAAGGATGATTTAGACTTAATAACTATGAATTAACACATTTATTAATGTTTAACCCATAAAGGCTAATTACGTCTAAAACCAACATACTTATTAACTCATGAGTTAACTCTTCTGTATTCTGTGTACATTTATGTAAATACTCATGTAAACATACTTTCATACCACCATACTCACATTTCATCAATTTATAAAACTTCCCATGAGGCTTTGCTCAAACCAGGAAGTACGCTCAGGCAGCAAAGCCTCATGGGAAATTTCATAAATTGATAAAATATGAGTATTTTGGGTCTTATAAAGTTTGCAAAACTACGTGTGTACGTGAATCTAATCYAAACACATCCTGTAGTTAATTGTATCATGTTTAATGTTAATATAATTAAAAGATAAAGTCAGAACCATAAACTTTCTGCACTGCAGCCTCTTATACTGATTGGATGAACAAACATGATTTTAAGTAGAAATGCAGTTTTTCYACATCAGAGGACAGAAATGTTCAGCTGGTAACTAATGTTTTTAAGGTTAAATAACTCTTTATTAATGATTATAATAACCACTTTATTGAGCCTTAAAGTGTTATCTGCAAAGTTTAACATTAAATCTTATGATTTATTTTCAATAATCTGCTTCCTTTTTCATTCAAAACTTCCTTTTGTTTACATTTAGTATTTTTTAATGAAATTAGTTTTTGTATATAGAAGCAAACATAAATAAAAAGACTGGCAGCACTTGAAGAAACCAGCAGCTCAACTAGAGTCAGGACAACCAGATGCCTGTTCCTTACTAATGTGGCCTCATTTAAAGGAACAGATTTCCAGCTGGATGAAAAACTATTTTTTTATTTTTCCTGCTCAGTTTATGAATGAAACCTTAGAAGAAACGTTTAGATTTATAAATATTAACAGGAGCTGCTTTCATATAAAATAAACCTTTATTAACAACAAAGTTCAGAACAGATTTATGAGCAGAACACTCAGAGGAAACCAGGTCCTGGTCCACAGGGTCCAACAGGGGCAGGTGGGCCAGTCAGGGTCTGTTCTGAGCCCAGCTGCTGGTTCTGAATGGTTCTGAACCGCCAGTGGAGCAAACAGCTGAAGCTTATTAAACCAGGCTGGATGAAGACTTTTGCCTCTTCCTCTTCCTCACTGCTGTGATGACGAGTTAAATAAGTGAACTATCCCTTTAATCCCTTTAATCCCTTTAATCTGTCACAGCTCAGTTCAGTTTGTGTGCAGAGAGCCATCAGGACAGTGTCTCAGTGAACAGGTGCTCCTCCTCCTCAGTGAACAGGTGCTCCTCCTCCTCAGTGAACAGGTGCTCCTCCTCCTCA